GAACTCGGGGTATGAGTCCGGGGTAGACCTCGGGGGATGAGTCCGGGGTAGAACTCGGGGTATGAGTCCGGGGTAGACCTCGGGGGATGAGTCCGGGATAGACCTCGGGGGATGAGTCCGGGATAGACCCCGGGGGATGAGTCCGGGATAGACCTCAAAGAATCCCAGGAGGTGCCTCATGCATTTACACATTTAGCGGATGCTTTTGTCCAAAGTGATGTGCAAGTGAGGCAAGTAGTACATTGCAAACATATGTGCTGTCAAGGAGTCGACTAGACGTCACTGCAGTTAGGCTGAGCTTCCAGTGAAAGTCATTATACAAGTGTGAGCAGCACTGGAGCAGCACTGGAGCAGCACTGGAACTAACAAGAAACTCTGTGTATTAAAACCTTAAACTATAAAAACACGCAAAACAAATCTGACATTTTAGGTAAAATATTGAGAAGCCTCCAGAGTAAAAAGGTGCTTGTCTATGACCGGAGAAGATCGGTTCAGAAGGATCCAGAAGAGCAGCACCATGCTTCACCTGCCCAGCCGTTCTTAGAAGGCAGTCCTCCTTTGCGACCACATTACGCTGAGCACAGAGGGTTTACAGCTTAAGCTTAAATTCTCATCTTATTAGCACAGCAATGTACAGGCCCAAGTAGGAAAAACATGACTGAGCAATAGTAACCAACCAGAACCATTCACATGTGCCACAGACCACCATCAATGGCAAAGGATGTGGTTTGATACACAACTAAATTATTTAAATGCGAAGCTCAATTTATTGGAATAGGAGTGAATACAAATTAATTATTGTGGGGTACACGTCCTCCCCAATCCCTAGCCCCCTTTACCCAGCTTTCCGACACGGGCTAACCGGTGACGCCACTGGGGTCACCATAATGGCAGTCTAGTTCTAAACACCAGAAAAGCACTTCTCACTTATACCTGATTATCCATTTAGTGTCCCTGCATTCATTACTCAGCTTGTTTAATGGGGTCAGCTGCTCACACAGACCCTAGGCAGATTCTACTTATATCCAGGTTTGTGAGAACGATCCCCTGACCTTTCCCCGGCCATTAAACACGGACGTATCCACCTGCTCGTCACACGGCACAGTGTGAGGGGCTTTTCCTTGGGCAGGCCTGAGCTTGGAGATCCACTTTGGGCTTTTCCCATTTTGGCTCTGTAACCGTTTTGGCCACCTGGAGGTTAGGGCCACAGACTAATGGAGAAGGGAAGTTAACACTCTCGCTGCAAGCCAACAATTTTTTTTTCCCCTTCTTCTGTGTTGTGCTACATTTAGCCAATGAAATTCCCAGGCTCTGAAATATAACTCACACAAATAAAAACTTCTTCAGAAACCGTACCTGGACTCACTGCTTGGCTAAAAGCGTTACGTGGTGTAGGGTCATGAGTAAGAGGAAGCATGAAGTGTGTGTGTTGTGGGGGGGGGTTTACTTCACTTCCGGTGAAAGAGAAAGGTAAACATATGTGGTGATGATCATCCTCATTTTTTATCATCATTATCATGAAATCTACACAAGCATGATGATGCTGCACTAGGGGTGACCTCCTGGAAGATTCCTGGCAGTCTGACTCGATGTGGGAGAGACAAGGGGTGGGCTTCAAGGGACCCCCGACGTGAGCCCCATGTAAACCCACCAGGCGAATCAGCTAAAACAACAAGCTTAGCTGTGGTTCTGCTTCCCTCAGAGGCAGGGAACTCTGTGCCGTGCCACACCGCTAGCCAGCTGAGGTTTATGACCCCCGGTGTTTATCACTCCAGGCAAACGCAACAGACCCTATGCGATGAACAGCCAAGATCAAAGAGCAGGACCCCTATTTGGGACCCCTATTTGAGGTCCTGCTCTTTGATCTTGACTGTTCCTCACATAGGGGTTGTTTGTTTTCCATTGGTGACCCTTAAGGTCCTGTCAAGTAGACTATGGACAAATCACACAACACACCACTTACACAACAGGCAAGACCATGACTGGCTGAAATCAGAGAGGACGAGAGTGACACCTGGGCCTGCTAACAGATAAAGCAGATACCGGCACGCGGCCTGACACCCGGGCCTGCTAACAGATAAAGCAGATACCGGCACGCGGCCTGACACCCGGGCCTGGTAACAGATAAAGCAGATACCGGCACGCGGCCTGACACCCGGGCCTCGTTACAGATACCGGGTCGCAACCTCTGAAAGGGCCGGGTGCATCCATTTAACATGGCTGTAGTCGACTTCCTCCCACAGAGGTATGGCTGGGGGAAAACACAGACCACTGATAAATTACAGAAACCTGCATTCTACCACACCTCTGGTTATAAATAGGGTCAAGCCTACATCTAGATAGCGCCCCCTGTCAGATGGGATGAGTGTGACACTCCACCACAGGCTGGACTTTTCAGAAAAAGGTGACGTCTACCAACATGTCCAAATCTTGGTCTGCTTTTGAGTCCCAAGCCCATACCCAGAATTTAATTTTAGGCCGGGGGTCCAGCACCACAACAGCGCAACAGATAAGCTCCGCTCAGGTGATTATGCATGATTGGGTAGGGAACAAAAGTTATTTTTTTGGGGGGGGTTCAACCCCATAATTTTACTATCTGGGTACATGCCAGCTGGACATGCAGCAGCACAACCCTAGCAGCTGAAAGGAGACAAGTTGGGCTCTCATCGTGACGTGAAGTCTCTTTGTCGGGGGGTGAGACCATGCATCAAGAGGTGAAGCGAGGTGAAGCTGGAGGAGCCCCCACCCTCCCAGTAAGTGAGGAATGAAGGCCAGCCCTGTAAAATGAAAAACTGGAAAGATTAACCATTAGACGGGGCTGTTTAAAATCACCCACCCATCTGTCTTCTAAGCACTTCTCCCAGTCAGGGTCATGGGGGGGCTTCCCCAAACCTGGAAAGAGTGAAGGAACAGGGAGCCCCCAGTACCCCCACTGTACCGTGTTTGTGGGCCCCTTCACTGGCATGACTCTAAGAGAGAGTGTCTTAATGTAATAACTGTCTGTTTGAAAAGAAAGCAAGGGGGGACAACTCTTCTGCACCCGTAAAACCATTCCCACATCCATCCTGCAGGAAGTTCTCAAAGTCGCCAAAAACGGTTAAGTCTACAAAATACTTGGTGCATGAAATTAAAACCAAAAAAAGTGGGAATGGTCATTCAGATTAGAGGAAACAGATTTATTAAAAAGAAATACAATGGCGGATCATGAAATTAGGAGGGAAGAATCGCAGCCGTGGTTGTGTCCAGCTGTTATACACTGTGGACCAGTGGGGTTGCAGTGATATCCAGCCAGCGAGGGGCTTCTTTACCCCTCCCACCCCCGACTTGACACCGGGGCTCTGCTGGAAGCTCGAAATGAAGCGATCAGGGCGTGATCAGAGCCGGGTGCAGGCGCAGGCTGAGTGTGCCGCTTGGCCGCTGTTCACAGAGAACGGCCTCTCTGTTCTTTTTATATCCATGACCCCCGTCATCTCCTTTAGAGACACCGTCTCAAAAAGATCCCCTAATCTTCTCCCGCTTCGCTATCGCGGGTGGGCTGAGAGGAGGTCGCTCACAGGGCTCCAGACTTTCATCTGACCCCAGTGTTTTTATATATCTTTTTAAAAACAAATTGAGCATGCTCCAGGTTATTATTTAGGACTCACTCCATACATCGCACAAGGTCAGAAAACTTACAATACAAGTTTAAAGCAAAATAATCCCGTTACTAATGTAATAAGAAGAAGATCCTAATAGCCCCATAAAAACACTAGTTTAAAAGCTTTTACTCTGCAAAAAAAAAACATTTTGCAGGGGCTTTGATGAAAGAAGGCCAGTATCTCGGGCAACATCACATTAGCAGAATCATTTCAAACAAGTTCAATGAGATCTGTTTGTTACTTTATAGGAACATCTGTAGCATGAAAGCAGCTTTTTAAAAAAATGCATCAGTTTCACACATGCGTCACATGCACATTCTGTTTGGACATTAAATCATTCTCTCAGCTGTGCAACCTCCCATAAGATCAAGTACAAACGCAAAACGGCTTAGGGGGCTTCCACTTACGGAAGGCACAGCTGCAGATCGACATGTGAGTTTCCGGCCCGCCACTTCCTTGGGCTCCCACTAGGGTGGCAACAGAGGAAGCGGGGTGATTACCAATTTAATAAATAGTTAAAGTCACTGGTTATGTTTGCGGCAGGGGACCAGAAATGTGAAATTCAGCTTCCGTGCAGAACCACTCGATTTGTGATCTGTGGGCTAATGCAGCAGGACAGATGGTGGCGGGCGAGGCTGCACTTGTGACCAGTGCGTTAATGCGGTGGGATAGATGGTGGCGGGCGAGGCTGCACTTGTGACCTGCGCGTTAATGCGGCGGGATAGATGGTGGCGGGCGAGGCTGCACTTGTGACCTGCGCGTTAATGCGGCGGGATAGATGGTGGCGGGCGAGGCTGCACTTGTGATCTGCGCGTTAATGCGGCGGGATAGATGGTGGCGGGTGAGGCTGCACTTGCGTCCATCACCTTCCAAAAAACCTTCCACCATTTACCCATCATGCCTTGCAGGGTATTCTCCATGGATACTAATCCTGGAATATAAATGTAAACTGAACCATATTGTATAAAACAAGTTGTGCAAAACATATAACAGTTGAGTGTCAAATTGCAGGTTAATAAAAGGTTATAAACAATCTCTTGAGACTAGGATAACCACTGCAAACTCCCAAAACATTCTCATCAACAATGGTCCATGAAATGCCCGATGTGCTACCCAGCCATGCGACCAGTTAAAAAAGCAGCCTATCTAAAAATACAGCCTTTTATGCTTACAGGAAATGCTCTTTGATATTTATATCAGCAGTAAAATGAAGAAATGTTGCCTGATATATAATGAAACATGTTTATATGTGTTGACTTGTTTTGGCATGCATCCTGCCAGTCTAGAACAGCTGTGTGTGCTTTCAAGTATACACTCGGAGGCCATTTCGAATAGGTACACCTGCTCGTTAACACAAATAGCCTGCTCCTCTGAGTGAACCGTGTGTCTGCATCAGAACACGTACAGCAAACAGACACTTACAGACGGGGACAAGAGGTTCACTTACTGTGTGGCTAAGCATCGGAACGGCTAATAGGAAGCCCGTAAGTGCGAAAGGAACAGCTCAGTCCAACAGCTGTGTGCAAAAAGTATCTCCAAAGGCACGGCTCATCAACCTTTGAAGCAGTTCTGGAAGCAAAAGGGTGAGTCCCACCTGAAACTATGTTGGGGTTCCGGATGTACCGTTGTACTGTTAAGGATATTTACTTGTACTGTTGAGAATACTTCTATCACTGACTGTTAATAGGAGGTTGTTGATGCTACCAACAGATTCAACCTAGTATCAGACAAGCAAGGACATTTATTCCCAGTCAAGATCCCTGTACTTGCATGGGGTTTCCATACTTCAGCCTAACACCGCTACAGTCGCCAACTTTGGTCAGCTGGTTGGCGTGAGCTTTTCAATTCGAGACAAGTCTGCACACACATGTATGTAAGAGTTTTATTACCTTGTGAATAGTCTGTAGGGTTTGAAAACTACCCCAGCACTTTTGCTATAGCTAATTTTAGGTGTATAATGGAATAATATAGATTTGCATTGAGAGTCTGAATGCGTGAGTGTCACGCCAGATGCACTGAGAGTGTGAATGCGTGAGTGTCACGCCAGATGCACTGAGAGTGTGAATGCGTGAGTGTCACGCCAGATGCA